TGTGCCGAGTTGTCTCCTCAACCAAATCAAGCCCCAATAGCACTCTATCGCTTGAATCTTCCCAACAAAATGGGGTACGACATCGACGCCTATACAATACCTCAAACGGTGCAACCTTGATGTTGGCATGATAAGTGTTACTATAAGAAAACTCAATCAATCCCAACCAGTCAGCCCAAGATGACCAAAACTGCAATACAAAAGCCTTCAACATGTCCTTCAATGTCTAAATGGTATGCTCTGTCTACCCATCAATAATCGGGTGAAAAACAATGCTAAAATTAAGTTTAGTCCCGAACTCTCACTGCAACGCCTTCCAAAAGTGGGATATAAATTTTGAATCATGGTCCGATACAATATTAGTTGGCACTCCGAAGTGTTTCACCATATCCCATACATATGCCTCAGCCAACCTAGTCATCGATCAATCATTCCTCAAAGTAATGAACAATGCTGCTTTCGACATCCAATCAAGAACAACCCAAATGGAATCAAATTGATACTTACAGGTATTTCAATCATAAAGTCCATCGCAATTGACTCTCACTTCCAACATGGAATCTTAAGCGGTTGTAACAATTCCATCGGTCTACGATGCTCAATCTTCACTTTCAAACACACTAAACATTGAGCCACATAATCCCCTATATCCTTCTTCATATCCGGCCAACAAAAATTTGCATACAAGTCGTTGTACATCTTATCACCCCATGATGCACCGGGTATAGTGATACGTGAGTCTCATTCAACAATCTCCCCTTCAATTCTCTGGCACTCCCCGGAAAGAACCATTTCCCTTGAAAATGGAGGTTTCCATCACTAGCAATCTCAAACTCATTTGTTTCCTTATATTTGCCCTTCTGTACTCATTCTATAATCTTAAGACATCCGGGGTCTGTCTGTTGCCTTTCACGAATCTCATCATATAATGAAGGTGCCACCAACAACGCACATAATACAACCTATGTAAAGCCCGGAGAAACTATCTCCAACCTCAAGTGACTCATCTCCTCAGACAACTTGTCTGCAAACACAGGGGCACTCGCATAATGTTCATTCCGGCTCAACGCATCTGCCACCACATTGGCCTTACCCTCATGATACAAGATCTCAGCATCATAATCCTTAACCAAGTCCAACCAACGTCATTGGCTCATGTTTAACTCTCGTTGCACAAATACATACTTCAAACTCTTGTGATCCATAAAGATCTGACACTTGCTCTCAAACAAGTAATGTCGCCAAATGTTCAAGGCATGCACAACGGTATTCATCTCTAGATAATGGATTGGATAGCTCTCCTCATGCAATTTCAACTGTCTCGAAGCATATGCAATAGCCCAACCATTCTGCAATAATACACATCCCAAACCACACAATGATGCATCAGTAAAGATATCAAAGTCTTGCCCATCCTCGGGCAAGGAAAGAATTGGAGCACTCGTAAACCTCGACTTCAACTCAAGAAAGTCCGCCTCACACTTATCATCCCATTCAAATCATGTTGTCTTCTTTATTAGATCGTCAATGGTTGTACAATTTTAGAAAAAATCCTTAATGAAACGCCAGTAGTAGTCAGGCAATCTAAGAAACTCCGCACCTCACCTACATTGTACAATGTCTTCTAACTCAATATTGCCTCAACCTTCGCAGCATTCATAATCACAGCCTCAGCAGAGATCACATGGCCAAGAAAATAAATTCGTTCCAACCAAAATTTGCACTTAGACAATTTAGCATATAACTTCTTTTCTCGAATTTTCTCTAAGACCATTCTCAAATGGTGAGCATGAGAATCTAAGTCAGAAAAATAAATTAGGATGTCATTAATAAAGGCAACAACAAAATGGTCAAGACATATCCCAAAGGTTTGTTGCATCAAGTCCGTAAACACTGGTGGGGCATTGGTGAGCCCAAAAGACATCACTATGAAGTCATAGTGTCTATATCATGTCCTCAAAGATGTCTTCGGGATGTCCCAGTCCTGTACTTGGCTCTGATGATACCTTGATCACAAACCAACCTTTGAGAGCACACATGCCGCTCTCAATTAATCAAAGAGGTCCTCATTCCTCGGCAACAGATATTTTTTCTTCACAGTAAGTTGGTTGATTGCCAATAGTCGATGCACAATCTCATACTACTATCCTTTTTCCATACGAATAGTATAGGTGCACCCCACGGAGAAATACTTAGTCGGATACACCCCTTTTTTAACAATTCATCCAACTGCATTTTCAACTCTTTCATCTTAGTATGAGCCATCCGGTAAGAGGCCTTCGACACGGGTTGTGCTCCCGATACTAAATCAATCTCATATTCAATCTCTTTGGGTGGAGGAAAACATGTTATTTCATATGGTAACACATCAGGAAATTCTTGAACCATTGGAATCTTATTCACATCATATTGTAGAGCTCTGGTGTCAAGTACTGAACACAAATACAAAGGATCTCCCGTTTGCACCATTGCAGACAACCTGACTATCTTGGCTGCTTATAGTATAATGTTCTATCACCGAGTAAAGTCCAACGTGTCAACTTTTCCACGTGAAAATTCTAGCGGGCTCGATACTTCTCTAACCAATCAATCCCAAAATTCAAATCAAACTCACTTAACTTCAATACCAACAAATCTATCGGAAACTTCATCTCATTCACAATGGCAGGAACATCATGAATATATGTATCACACAATAGATCTTGGCCAAAAGGTAGAGATATGCTCACTAAGGTAGACTTCAAACCAATTAATCCACACATTTGGACAAACCAAGCAGCAAGAAAAGAACATGATGCACCAGAATAATTAGGTGTAAATATTGATCATTTGGATAAGAAGTGCATACCCGTTATGACATCACTGCGTATCTCCACCTCAGACATGGAAAGAACTGTCAGATGTCCTCCCACCTGTTGTGGGTGTCCCTGTCCAGTAGGTATCTACTGCTGTTGTGGATGAACACATGGGCGATGTCCCCCCGCATTGCCACCCTTATAACTCCTCGGGGTGATGCACTGGTTCCTTAGGTGACCTGGTTGCCTACAGTTGTAACAAACTCTAGGCTTCCATCGCAAAAGTAGCCTAGATGATTTATCTGGCATTTCAAGCATTGACCTACTCTCATAAGCCTTCTCTCAATATGTCCACTCGGTTCTCTCCCATCAATCCTCGGTCCTACTTGTTTCTGGAAAGGGGGTTGCTATTTCTTCCCTCTAGGTCTGAAACCCATCTCAGATCCACGTCTCTTGTTTGCTATCATTATTTCTCTATCCTTCAGAGTCTTCTCCATATATGTAGCTCGATTGTAGGACTCTCTGCAAGAGTAGGTGCTCGACACTAGCAAAGGCTGCACGGATATCTCCATTACAACTATCCTCAAACTTCTCAACTTGTCGAGGGATATCCCTTAGGATGTTCAGCTCAAACCTCATCAATTCATGAAACTTGCTATAATACTCGACCATAGTGTGACTTCCTTGTATCAACCGCTGAAATTCAAACCTTCTCTCAGAACGGAGAAAGTTCAACAAAATACCTTTATCATATCTACCTTAAGATCCTCCCTAGTGTAGTGCTCCAATGCCTCTCTCTCAGGCCGGCTGGCACGCCACCAACCATCAACAGCCCCAACTAAGAAGTAAGCTGCCACACCCATCCTATGAGTCTCTGAGGAACGGGTGGCATGGAATACCTTGTCAAATAAGAAGAACCATACCTTCAAGACTGTCGAATCCTCCAGCCCCACATATTTTGGAGGCCGATGCTTGTAAGCCTTGTCCAAAAAGTCCTCATGATAATCCTCAAAGTTCTGCTAATGACCGACTGTTGTAGTAGCTGCCTGAGTCTGTTGTTGGCTCAACTGTTGTCTCAGTAGTGTATTATGCTCACGCAAAAGGTCAAACTGCTTCTGATGATGTGCCATTTGTTGTTGGAATGTCTCCAGCAACATCCTCTGCCACAAGGGCAACTCCTCAGTAGTCGGGGATACTCTCTCCCCAACTAGCGTCTCAAAGGGAGCCCCGGCTGCTGCTGGCGGCTGTGGTAGTGGAGGGACCTTATTCCCAGCCATATGGTATGACTCCAATCCCTTGGTTAGATCGCTCAACCCTTCAATCTCTGGGGTAAAGCTAGTCCCAAGGCCAACCCCTGGGCCACTAATGAAACTTCGTCCATGGCCTCTACCACGTGTACAACTAGTACCATGTGGTGCCATCTCAACCTCTAAAATGAAGAAAAGTTCAATTCATAAGCAACTACGAGTAAAACTAGTATACATATCTTAACATACAAACACATGATAGCGAATAAGGACACAAAGGTTAGTATAATCAAGTTATACTATGCATAGGTGTAGGTCAGTTAGCTAATGCTTAACATGATATGTAATCCACCCCGAGCCCCAAAATAAAGTTCATGATGCATATTATCCTTGGAAAAGGGGTGTGAATTCTTAAGTAAAATGCTCTGATACCAATATATGTAACACCCCAAATCAAACAAAAACAAAAAATTCTTGAAGTTTCGCACGCCAACACCAGAAACAACATCACGTAAAAACATAACGTGCCCCGATGCTAAGGCTAAAACACCATAATAGTGAATGTAAAAGTTTTTCGTTGTGGAAGTCTTAAAATATATTTTTCAACACCCATAATTATTTGAAAAGCATATAACTATAAGAAGTCCTTACATGTATTAAAAAGTCTCAATGCATCTCAAAAGTAGGGATTTCAAAAGTAAAGAGTATGTACATTCATAAGTTCAAACATTATCCAATAAAAAATCATGAATATCAGATAATATAGTATAAGAAGAACACTCATTATATTGTGTTTCTCATATGTAGAGAGGAACTACTATATTTGTATAAATTTTGTATTTCTGCCATAACAGTGGCAGTATCGTCGTTGTTGACGAATGTATTGGCATGTATTTGCAACTACTTGTATGCATGTAATTTTTCTAATGAAAAATGATGAAAAATGTATTTGTAATTTTATGTTTTTATGTAATATCATTGGCATTACCTACTATAAACAAAATGTCAAAAAAATAGCACACCAACTACAAAACATGTTCAAAATAGATAGGCTAATCAAACTTGAAGACAACCTAATTTCGGTGCAACGACATCAGATCAAAAAACACAAAGAGAACAGGATTCAACCACATCTAACCATGCCCATTTCAATCCATATACACCATTTTACGGAAACTAGAACACAAGTCATTTGCCCATTTTTTATGCTCGAGTTGTCGTTGCCCCCGTCTGTATTCGATGCCGCTTGTTGAACTCCATATTCTCCTCAACAAGTTGTGTCAATTTTTATTGACGGACATGTGCCGGAAGCCCAAAAAAAGAACATTATCGTAATTGGGAGGATCTGAAACACGTTGCGGTCGATACATTTCAGCGCGCTCGAACATTGTTGGTGGTTTTGATATTATGCTATCAGTCATTTCGGTCAATTTTTTGCCCTGCATCCATACACGATTTCAGGTATCATAGTAAACATAAGTTAGTTACATCTAAAATAGAGATAGTTACATCTAACGTAAATAAACCCTCACTTTATCCACGGTTTCCCGAGTCTTGACTTCAAAGAGTGGCGTGCTCATTTGACTGCTGACTCATGTCTTCAAAACAAAAAAATTTCATCCAACAAATTTTAAGATATGATTGTTGTAGATATGTGATACGATACTCGTAACTATAGGTATGTAAAGAATACCCATGCTTCGTGTTGCTTGGACTGACGGGAGCTGCATCCCGTGGCTTGTATCCTTGCCTTTGTGTCCCGATATTTCTTGCCTAAATGTTAATATTTAGTACTTTTCTACAATTTTGATGATATTAAAATTAACCAAAAACAAGTTCCCTCAAATTAAATTTATTACGCTTCATCTTTGTGACAACATTGAATGCCCTTTTTCTTTTCGTACCACATTTTTGTCCACCTCGTAAGCACTTACATTGGCAGTAGACTCTTGTATTGCCAATTGGAGTTCCCCCTTCGTTGGTTTGGTGATATTTTCTAGATCCTATGTATGAGGAATTATTTTTAAATTAAATAGACAAAAAAAGTAAATCTAATTTTGTAAAACCTACCGGTTGGGTTTCAAGGATCGAAATCAGTCCACAATGATCATCGTAGGTAGCTTCTTGTCCAGTTGTGCTTATTCCAGCCGTTATTGAGGATGTTTCTATGACTCTACTCATGACACGGGCCTGCAAGGTAGGTGTGGACTAATCAAAGAAATAATATTTTTTGGAAATAATTTGTTTGTATATGACAACATGTCTTACGCTCCGTCGTGGTGGTGGAACCATTTTTGAGTGTATTCTGTGTGGATGGTCCCTCATCAGTCACAACCAACAAGTAAACATGGCACCAGTTAATCCACTCGGTCACACATTGTATTTAATGTACATCTATACTAAATAAGAACCTCTTCTTGACGATGATCTGGGCAGCGGGACGCAATTGCTACATTTTAATGATTACTCTGCCTCCTCTTCAACTTGGAAGTTTCATCCTTAGTTTTTACTAATTTATGAGGTTCTTCAGGCTCACACTTTTGTACTTTCCTCGGCCTACAAACACGTCTTGAATAGTCGTTGGCTTTGGCGGTTGAAAATTTGTCGGCTCCCAAAACATGTCGTTGCTAACAACTTTAATAGAGTGTGCATAAACGTGGTTATACGTTTCCATATGATACACACTACTGACATAATCCGTTTTATCAACCCCCTGATTCCCAATTGTAATAATCACATGATTACACGGGATTCCATTTAGCTGCCACTTCCGACACGAGCAGGTCCTCGCTGCCAAATCAACATTGTGTTGCCTCTTATCCAAACACGATATATGATAATGTGTGTCATCCGACTTGATCGGAATACAGTCTGACACCTTTGCTTTGTTTATTCTAAGCACTTTCATTATTTTCGGGCAAAGCAACATCTATCCCCATTTCCTTCTTGCATGGTCTTTATTTCCTTGCAATCTTCTTATCAAAATACACTCAAATATCTTCAAACATAGATATAATATGCTTTTTTCAAGCATCAGATATTACACTATTAAAAATCTCACATAAGTTGTTCATAAGAAGGTCACACTTGGAAAAAAGCTGGAAATGGGACTGGCTCCACTCCTCGGCCGACTTTCCGTCAAGCCATTCCCAAGCATTTTCATCCAATTCTTTGATGGCTTCCATAAGCATTTTCATCCAATTCTTTGATGGCTTCCATTTTAAGCCTAAACTCCCCCACTATAGATGCCCTAGATGCCTTCCATAAACCATTTTTCAGAGTTGTCCCTTTAAAACCAGATGTCAAGAAATTGTTGTGTAAGTGTCTTAACACAACATCTATGCTCATTCTCTAAAAATACATCCAACAAGGCTTGCACCAAACCCTTATGTTTACCGGACATGAAACAACACTGATGTTCTGGCTCTATCCCTAAATCCCTCTTTACTAGTACCAAAAATCATTTCCAGGTTTCATGGTTCTCGTATGGAACACAAGCAAATGTTATAGGGAATATGCAGTTGTTAGGATCAACTCCAACAGCAATTAGAAGGACACCTCCATACACGGTCCGGAGCTGACATCCATCAATGCTAATAAAAGGCCCGCAACCTTCCCTAAACCCCTTCTTCAATGCATCGAAATAGATATACATCCTATCGAATGTAGATTCATCACCATCCACTAATGTCCATAACACCACTGTCGATCCGGGATTAGCTTGTCTAACTGGGTGTGTATAATCCCAAAGCAAGCCATACTATTGCACTGCATCCCCTTCCATTTCTTTCAGTGCCCTTATCTTAGCCCTATAGGCCATATCCTTCGACACATTTACCCGTAGTTCATTTATCACATCCACCCTAAATCCTTTAACTGCTCGTTTTGGGTCCAACTTGAATTTCTTTACATACTTTGCACTCAGCCACTTTATTTTGATGTTTGATACATTGAACCTCTTCTTGCAGGTATGCTCATCATGAAAAATAGAGATTTCAAAACCAATCCCATCGTCCATAACACGTGCATGAATTTTCCAATTGCAGTTACTGTCTCCACAAATTGCATACAACCTTTTCTTGTCTACCCTTGTGAACTTAACATGCCTTATGCTCACAACAGCGTACGAGTTCACAGCATCCTTAAGCTCATCCCTACTAGAGAAAGCCATCCCAATTTCAAATTTGGGTTCAAACAAATCATTTTCTTGGAAGTTAGGGAATGGTTTCTTTCTTTTTCCTTATCTGACTCAATCAGCTCTTCAAGCTCATTTTTCTGGCTCTAGTATATCCTCTTCAAACTCGTGTATTGCGTTACCCTCACACTCAATCTTCCCCATTTCACCCAATTTATCCCCCTGTCTCTCCCATGATGCCTCTTTTCTAAATTCCCCAACTATTTCTTGCTCTCCTTCTAAATCAGCATTACTCTACTCCGAAACCTCATCAACATATTCATTAAACAAGAAATCATCATTATCCTCAAAATAAGAACTCATGACAATCACTATTACAATCAGATGCTTCATCCATTTCAACTCCCTTATGTACTTCCAATTCATTCGCTACCTCATCAACAAATTCATCAAATAGTATATTGTCACTGCTATCAGATTCTAACTCGAGAATGTACTCACTATCTAACTCGAAGACATCATCAACATTTAAACTCTCTTCTATATCCACAAAGACCACAAATTCTCCATATTTTTCCTCCAACTATTTAAGATTGTTAGCCTAAGACTCTCATCGTCTACGATCAAAATAAGCATCTCATCTCTAAAAACATAAAAATCCAGTCTATTGTTGTTCGATACACCACAATTGAATGCATACCTAACTAAACAAGCTATATTAAGACAATTTACCTTGACGGGATCAAATCATGTCTTCTTGCCCCCCACGTAATTTGGTGTAGGAGTAAAGAACAGTTGACGATTGTAAAATAGTGTCACTTTCACTTTCGTATGTGTGTGTGGTCCATCACCTACAACGGAACATCCAACTGTTAAAAAAAATTAAATAAATAAAAAAATAAAATTCCAACTACTACAAGCTGTAAAGCTTCGACGTTGGGACCACTAAAGAAAACAACTTTGTTTGTATAAATATTCCTTTCACTGAAAGCGACATAAAATAAACAATTGATGCCAACAAATAAGTAAAAACGAGACGATGACTTAAACACATTTTAACCCCATTCACCTATAAAATAACCTGTGAAGGAGAGAAACATTACCGGATTTTTCAGCCATGTCCCGTGAACCGCAGTTTTGATTCTCAGGAATTTCGTATTCCTTTTGCCGGCGTGTCGACAAAATGAATCGCGCAGGGGCGTGTCAGCGAGGCAGCGGCGGTGAATGGCGGCGACCAACGTGCTTTGAGATGGGATGGGAGAATTGGGGATCTAGGGCTCGAACGATGAGAAAGGGAATTGAGAGTGAATCAATCGATTGAGGTTATAATGTTTTTAATTTCATGTTATTTGCAATTTGGTTCAATTGGACCAAATTGTTATTTGCATTTTGGTCCAATCAGGCCAAATTAGAATAAAAAAAGTAATTTTATTTTTTTTTTAAACAAATGACATGTCAGCTGCCGGAAAAATAACACGTCGTGGTACACGTCTGCGCCATGTACATGTCGGCAACGGCAATTCTATGTCTGCGCACGTGCCCGGCACATGACATTTTCCGGTGCCGGAGGGCATAAATAAAGCCTTCGGAACACTTACTTTGCGAACCGAAAAAAAAAAAAAAGTCTAAAAATGATAATTTGGGATATATAATGGGTAATTTTTGCAATTTTCCTTTTTTTTTTTTTTAAGACAAATAACGTGTCAAATATTTAAGTGGAAAATTTTGTTGCAAATTGTCATGATAGTTTCTGTTGCAAAATTAGCTCGATCCTTATAGCACTAAATATACCTTTTTGGCTAATTTTGTAACAAAATGTTTGTCCACAAATATTTCATAAAATTTTTCGTTGAAGTATGTGCAGGGCTCAGACACAGTGATTGGGTTTGTCGATAATCTCATCGAGTTCGCATACAAGATAGCATTGCTGGGTTCGGGAGTGAGTTAGGAAATGTTGTGCAGAAAATACCTTTGTCACTGTCGGAAACGTTTGAACCAGCAATTATAGCTTTGGAGTACAACTCGATCCAGTATTTGAAAATTATGCTTGGTGAGCTCCTAAATTATATATGATATTATGGCACCAATTTTTCGAAGGTCATGTTAGTTTATTTAGTAATTAATTTATATTTATGTAAAACCTCGAGATTTATTTGTATAAGGGTAAAATATAATTTTCTTTGAAGCAAATTTTTATTTTTTTTTTTTTCAATCAAAGTAATCAATAACATCCAAACATCAAATGGAGTAAAACTTTACATAATACATCAAAATAGTAACATTTTTTATTACTCCAACTAAAATGTAAAAGTCTAATTGTTATGCTTTGTGAATTCTTCTCGGTATGTGGCTCCGATCCATCCATCTCTCAAGCCCAACCGTATTTCTTCACCTGATTATTGTTACGCTGCAAATAAAATCCATCTGGTTTCACGAACCATACGCAATCGCCATTTGAATCGCATTCGAAAGGCCAATGTAGGGAATTAAAAACCTCAAAAGATTGTTTCTTCGACCCCCAATTGAAAGTACAGAAGAATATTGTTCTCCTAAGTAAGTTACCACAAAATGACCAGTGCCAGTTATCTGAATGATCGCCGAGATCATCATCACCTGACTTACAGTGATACTTTAGCCTTTGATGATTTGGAATATTGATATTTATCCAAACATTGTGTTTATTTGAGAAATTACAATTGAGTGAGTCGATTAATTTTGGACACCCTAAAGAAAACAATACCAGAATTACTAACAAGCTTCTAGCTAATATATCGGTCATTTATGCTGTAGGGATGATGTATGAATATATGTTAAGAGAAAAGGGCTGTCATTCCAATATGTGGTTTTCGAATAGGTTAAGTTATTTATATCAAAAAAAAAAAAAAAAAACAAAAAGCTATTAATTAGTCATTTGATTAGTGCAATGTTACTAATGAAATTTGTAATGATATTTTATTAATTATATGTGTAGAGATATGAAATATTGATATAAAGTGATTATCCTAACATTTGTTGAGATTATATTTTACTAGTGAATGAAATTTCAAATTCAACAATATTTGATACAAATTTGATTATATTTTATTAAGTTGATCCTATTAGGAAAAGACAAGGTGGGTGTCATAGTGGAACTGAATCGCTCTGATTACACTTTGGCTTGGCCTTCCCGACATTCAAAGAGTCAAGAGCAAATAAATTAAGGATCGGTTTATTATTTTATTATTTCAAATCAAAATTAATATTTTTTTATTTTTCACAGTTTTTAATAAAAATATATATATTTTTTTTTCTATAGAAGATCACATCAAAATACAATTTAAATAAAAATTCGAATCAACATCTTATTTTAAATCAATTTCAAACCACAATCAAACAAACCCTGTAATTATATAGTTTTATATTAAAATATATATTTTGTATTTATCTATTTCAAATGTGTGTTTCTTTTGGATGAATTTGGGATAAATTGGTTTAGGTTTGATATTACAATAATATTTAATGAGATATTTTGTAATAAGAAAAAATGTATTTTTTTAAAAAATGCAAATTCAAATAGTAAAATTTGAAAAAATTGACAAAAGAAATTAATAATGGTTGGAAAATATAGGGCAATAATGAGGCAGTAGAATGGAAGCCGGGTCGAGGAGTATCTCTTCCCGCAGAGCGAAATACGGACGGAAGTGCTCCGGTGTACCCGTATTACTCTCAAAGATAAAACCATTTATCCTCTCGAAGTAGCACCGCAAGCAAGAGGTCTTGCGAATAGGAAGAGAGTATGATAATTGACAGAAGAAGAAGAGTATCTCTAGACACGGTATATCATCCATATTTAGAATCATATCTATTAGGATATGACATCAAGAGTCAAATCTAATAAGATATGATCTCGTAAATCAAATTTTAAGATATGACTTATCAGTTTCGTATGGATAGAGTTTTTCTAAATTTCTCTATCTGATCCATGAGCGCACCATTGACTTGGTTCGACACCCAATCCGATTTGCAACTTAGTTCGGCACAAAATTATTTAACATCGATAATCATATTATCTCATATATTTCTCACTCACCATATTCAGTTTTGAAAATAGACTAAACATTTAATCATCTATTTTGATTTCCTAAATTCTCAAAACGAGAATTCCTACTTATAACAATATTGTTATATATTAATTTTTTAAAATATAAAAATAATTAAATTATAATATATATATTAAGATATCCAAATGATTTTAATTAAATTTTACATTATTTTAAATTTAAAGTTTTAAAAGTAGCAAAATGGTACAACAATATTAAAAAGTACTATTCCCCTATCCCCTAACAAGGATACCAATTTTTATTTTATGTCCGTCCCAAGATAAGAATTATGTTTCGTAATTTAGTAATTACACTGTATCTCTAATATAATAAATATTCTTGCAATTTATAATATCTTACACAAATATCATTACTTTTATATTATACAATAATAATAGGGGTATTTTTAGTTTTTACACTACAAACTATTATAATATTAATACTAAAAATAACGTGCAAAAAAACAAATGATACTCTCCTTGTGGGACGGATGGAGTATTAAAAATAATTAAAATATTTGTATAACAATCTATATTTGTAATTGTTGAGTGTTTTTAGATTAATATATTTTTTTTTCACTCTAGGTATGAAAAACGTATACGTAATATAAAAAATAATTTAAGTGTTTCGTGGTACAATTTTACAAATTGAGTACTTATGATATATATTGTGTGTGTATAATTTATATTTTTTGTAATATTAATCGTAAAGCTTTTTTTTTTTTTTTTGAATATATTATAAAACAAATTTCTTAAATTATTTGAAGTTTATTCACTTGTATTTATATATTTTAATAATTTTGAAGTAATACAAGTATTGGATGTGATATTTTAATATATTGGCGGTCCAACAACGATGTATTTCCCCACTTTGAAATTGAATTTTGAATACAAGTAATATGTGCAGCGAAAACAAATGCAAACTCTCAAAGTTTGAAATTTGAACAACGGACAAATTACAGAAAGATTTGTGCATAATGAAACGAACCAAACAGGAAACCAGTGTTTGTTGACCCAGTTCGGCCTGAAGGGGGCCTATGTTTAAGGTAGCAACCCTGGGCAATTCTACTAGAAATAAGGAAGAAACAAGATACAAAAGTTCTTCACACAAACTCCAGAAAACGACAATCACAAACCCAACTTAAATGTATTAGTTTTCCTACCATATCTTCCTTTGCAAAGGCAAGTATGCAAGACCTCAACCTTCATTAGTTATGCTTTGAAATGGGACATTGATGTAAACAGCTTCACACATTTTCCTTCTTCAACTCTCCTTAGAACCCTTTTCTACCAAACAAACACTTTAGAAGTTTTTCGACACAACAAACAACAGCGATCCCGTTAGAAAATCAATTCGGCTTCAAATCTTCGGCAGCTTCGACCAGGTTCAAACCCAATGTAATTGAAAAACGAAAATCCTCTTATATTTTTATACTCAAAACATAGTCGAATCTCACAAGAAAATTCCTCAAAATAAAAGAATACAACTCCCCCTCAACTAGAAGAATGATTCAACTATTACACCATGGGATTTGAGCTTTCCTTTCGGTACCATGGGATTTGAGCTTTCCTTTCGGTGAAGATGAGTAGAATCCTTCAAGTTCTCACTCTCTAATTAGAACATGAAAGATATCATATCTTTTCCCTGGCTAAATTACACAAAATCTACATGTGGTTTCATGAAATTGCGCGAAATCCCCTATACTTCTAAAACTGCGTCAAACTCCCTCGTGGTTTGATAAACTCTGTGTCTAACCTCCTCAGCGGTCCCTATTTAACAGTATTTAACCTAAATGCGTCCAAATTGCAAATAAATTTTAGAATTTCAATTTCTAAACCCTTAAAATAACAAATATATTCATTTTTCTTATATTTAGCCTCAAAAAATAATAAAATATACTCAAAAATAGTTTTTTTTTTCAGATTTTAAGAATTTATTTTTACTTTTTTTTAGGCTAAATATAAGAAAAATAAATATATTTCTAATTTTAGGGATTTAAAAATTGAGATTCTAAATTTATTTGCAGTTTGGACGCATTTAGGTCAAATATCATTAAATAAGGACCACCAAGGGGGTTAGACGCAAAATTTATAAAACTACGAGGAAATTTGACGCAATTTTAAAAATATCGGAGATTTGGCGCAATTTTGTGAAACCATAGATAAATTTTATGCAATTTAGCCTTTTTCCCTCGGAAAATTATGAAAGCCACACTTTCCAGATTCCATGGGTTTTGTATATATACACATACAAAACCACTTCTTCCAATCAAAATCTAACAACATAAGGACTCCATATGGTCAAATATTCTAAGACATATATCATGTCAAACATCAGAGCATATGGTACGAAACAGATTTGACACAGCCTTCAGAAATGACATAGAAACAATAGAGTTAAAAGTTACCAATTTCAGTATTATGAGTAAGAGAATTTTTCCTCCTTTTTTTTAATCTTCCATTTAGATGCAAGCACGAGGGACAAAGTTTTTTTGTCTTTGATTGCAGTCAAGCATTAAGATAAATACTTTTTATCATCTTGGAGCTTTTCATAGTCCAAAATGTCAGGCCTCAAATCAAGCATCATGAGCAAAGTTGCAATCTTGCGGGCAATAGGTTGGTCGTCTGATTTATTTGCAGATCCAAAAATGATTTAGTGTCCCTTCTTTTTGCTTCGTTTCTTTTTTACTTTCCAAATCGATGTGCTTTTTTCTTATGAGTCATGCAGGATTTGAATTGTCTTTTTATTTCCTAGAAAGACTTTTTTCATCTTAGAAAATATATGACAAAACATTTCACATCAGCAAGCAACGTGAATAATTTAGCAACCACACGGGCATGGATTGGTTGTCTAAATATTCTGTAGATCCTCAATATAACAAATAAAATTTTATACCATATATAATGGTTGTTGATTTTATATTTCATTTAAAAAAACTTATATATTTCATAATAAAATATAAAGTGTTTATTCGATTCAGGCATACTATATTTTTTGGTTATTGGAGAATCCAAGTATTCTCTTTCAAATTTGGGAAATACCTCTCAAATTAGGTTTACAAAAAAAAATCTTTTTTGAGTACATCTTGTACTACAGTCAT